TATTAGATTTTGCTGAGTCCTATCAACAGCAACAATGTTGACCATTGAGACCAAAGAAAGTTCATCATCAAGTAAGGCTGGGCCTTTGAACATTCCTGAAACAAGTACAAGCACAAAATCTCTAGTAACTAGAAAATGGGTCTTTATGTAATATATTCTCCATCTCCTAATTTTTAAATTTTGGCTCTACTTTTAAGAGAGACTATACTATATTAACAAACTTCCACTAACTTTCCAGCCTTGCAGAAAAAAATAACAACAAATCCTTCTTGTACTGTTTGATGCACTAGAAAATAGCTATATTGTAATTAGGACATCACATTGTATAAAAACTTGTTTATTTCCTTTAGTGTTGTGCATACCACCATATTGTTACCATTATATAGTTATCCTAAAATGGACATTTGGGGTGAGGGAAATGGACATTGCATTTGTTATGATACAAATGATGTGACTTATGTATTTGTGTTATTTGGACAATCAATCAAAACAATGGAAGTACATAATTTATGGTGTTTGTGTTATAAGCATCATACATAATGCACATAATATTAATATCATCATTGTTTTTACTGGATGCCTAAGTTATCATATGAGTCGATTTGTATCTGTTTGTTTCCTGTATCCACCTTATCTCATATATTTATGTGGAAGTAGAAATGGAAATATTTGAAAATTGAGTATATGAGACCCAATCAAAGCAAAAAAAAAAATAAATACAAGATTTTCAGCATATACAGTAGCTTGTGGAAAAACACTAGAATGAAGATTTTTAAGAAGACAAAATAAGAAGTGATTCTAAAAATATAAAGTGATTCTGAAAAGTTCCTTAAAAGAAGAAATAATTCCCATATGATATATACTAGGCAATGTCACTCAGCTGGAAAAATACCAGGAATACATGCAGATATTATTTGGCTGGGACCAGCCAAGCCTAACAGGAAGCTATAAAATGGGAAGTGTAATACTTCTGAGTCATCACACAGAGACTGAGGTATTGTACAGAGTGAATTCCTCTCCTAGATATTTTTTTTGGAACATTATTCCTAGCTGGCCAAGTAGACTTTGAACTTGAAGGAGATGCATGATTAAAAAAAAAGGAAGTGTCGTTTTTAGTTCAGAATATAAACAATAATAATTGTAAACCAGAATTTGTTTCTAAGTTAGCACTGATGTTGTGTTAAGGACCCTCTTTAAACTTTCAGCATGGAAGTAGCAGAACATTTTGGAAAGTAGGTGGCCTTTCCCACTAAGTTTTCTAATGAAGCCAGAACTTCTTATTGGCTAAACCTTTGCAAAGCTGCTACAGGTAGTCTTCAATTTACAACCACAATTGTGCCCAAAATTCCTGTTGCTAAGTGAAAAACTTGTTAGGTGAGTTTTGCAACCTTTCTTGCCACAGTTGTTAAGTGAATCACTACAAGTGTTACGTTAGTAACACAGTTAAGTGAAGCTGGCTTCCCCATTGACTTTGCTGGTCAAAAGGTGGCAAAAGGGGATCACATGACTCCGGGACCCTGCAGCCGTCATAAATACATGCCAGTTGCCAAGCATCCAAGTTTTTGATCATGTGACCACAGGGATGCGGCAACAGTTGTAAGTGTGAAAAACGGTCATGTCACTTTTTTCTTAAAGCCATCGTGAAGGAACTCCTCACTTTGTTCAACCTGGCATTCCTTTCCTTCTCTTGTGCCAAAAGCTGTCCTTGAAAATATTCCTTCAATTTTGAGAAAAGGCAAATCCTGCATTCTATCAACTCTGAATTCAATGCCAGTTGGGGTAAGAGCATGTGATCACACTTTATAGTTGTATCTTGGATGGCTCATGAGG